TTATGTCAATATTTCATTTTTTAAAACTGGCACAGTTGTTTCCTTGCTGCTTAGTGAAACCACCTTGTTTTCAGAGCAGAGCTAAGCATTTATATTGGTAGATTGCGGCACAATTCAGGTACTTTTAGGAATTCTGTGTGTTTCAGAATAAGTTGGAACTAATGGACTTAAGGATTTGTCAGCTCTGCTTCTGTGTTGGTGTCCTTGTAGAACAGCATGTCTGAAATTCTGGGAATTTGATCCTTTTTTTTTTTTTTTAAGCTAGCTGTTTTAAAAGTAAAAATCCTTGATCTGATTCTGTTTGCACTAAAGGTGTTTGCCTTCCTGTGGGGATCTGCCCTTGACATGAGGTTTATGGGTATGTTGGAAAGAACGGGCAGTGCTTGCTCAGACTCGGTTGGACTGCGCGTGTATTTGGGTGGCACCAGCTGATGAGACAGGATGCTTTCAGTATGGTAACTGAAGTGCTTAATGTTTACATTAGATGTCTCATAGATTTTTGGTTATTCTGAAATTTACAGGGGAAAAGATGAATGGATAGGATCCATAAGCCTGCTAAAGCTTTTTATACTGCTCCACTTGCAGAGAGGTTTGCTACTGATACAAATGGCAGCGTAAGTATGAACTTACAGAATTTGCTGGCTCTATCCCAGATGAGGTTGATGGAGAGGATGCCAAGGAAGGCTGCATGGCAGAGCTGCTATTTTCAGTTCACCACCAGCTCTGGCCTATGGCAGTGTGAGATGCAGGAGAAAAATGTGCTTTAAATTTGTGACTGGTAATGGCTTGGGAGTGTAAAGATGTGCAGCTTGTTATATATGGAGCTCGTCCTATATAGGTGACCTGCAGGCCTGTTTGCTGAGCACGAAGAGGAGGATGGCGGTTATCATTTGGATGCTAGCAATCCTGAGTTGTCAAAAGTCTTGGGTCTGCATCCAGTTTGGGGAATACAATAATTGGAGGTGTGGGGAGTGGTCAAGGAAGTGCTTGTTTGTCCTTTACTATCTGTGAACAAGAGATAAGTGAGAAGTGGCCATTGTCAGTGCAGGCAGAGGGGATTTCCCTGTCCTTCCTCCCTCGCACACGTGTTGGAGTTGTATATAATCAGAAAAGGCTCCTTCTCAGTTTGTCCACGATGTGTTTTGTACTGGCATTACCTTCTTGTCATTCTTGGCAGTGCATGAGACACTGGATGCACAATGTTAATTTAAGTCCTCTGTAGACACAGACTCACAGATGGGCACTGATGCTGCAGAAAAATGGGCTGAGTCTCTCTGTCCTCCCCCTGCTTGGTAACTGCTTTCCCCTTGAGTCCTTGACCATGGGAGGGTGCAAGGGGGGTGCTTCCCCCCCCCCCTTCCCCCCCCCTCCCAATCGTTTAACACCACCTGAGCAGCACCAAGTGCTGGTAGAGCTGGGCATCTGAATTTAAGTAACAAGTGCAGTTTCTGAGGTTCTGCCCAGGGTTTTTGTCTCTGGGTGAATTTTTCACAGTGCTCTTAAGTATTTCTGTACAGTCTGTCACAGAGTTGCACGCTGTGGGTGCCCAGAGACCAGGGCCCTAGTGAAAACAGGAACAACCACATCTTGAAGGAGGAAGCCCTGGCGAGCTGTTTGACTGACTGTGCTTGATTGTCCCTGTTAATACTGACTTTCAACACCATAGGTAATGAAAAGAGTCTCCAACAGTAAATTTTCTGCATCTGCTTTATCTGTAATATGGACGGCAGTGGTTGTGGAAGTGAGCCAATGCGGCGCTGTGGCTATTGCATCCTAAACAGTTTCGAAAATTAAATTCACTGTTATAGCAGGTGTTGCCTAACCTTCACTTGGCCAGTTTAGATTTATTATAGTCCTTCCTATCGATACAGAATGTTACCTGAAGTAATTGAATAGCATATATTTACATTTTAGCTAAGGCAGCCACTTACGGTTTAGGTCTGAAGGTGGGTCAGTCCCTTGGTGTGTGATCTGTGCTGAGTGAGAACTGGGGATACCAGTGTTGGGGTAACTGTGCAGGTGGATGTTCACCTGGGCTGTTTTGATGATGTTGGGGAAGACCAGATGTCTTTATACTGGTATCACTGGTGAAGGAGGAAGAAGTGTAGGGGCCAAATGTGTGTGTGTGGGGAAATCTTTAAATACTGCATTTTCAAAATCAGCTAAGTATTATTTACCTATTAGGCTATCAAAAGTCCTGTGTCCATTTGATTTCAGGAGGAATTATATCACCAGGTTTGTGCTGCTGACTGAAGCTCATCACATTTTCATTAAGACTTTGAATTTTAGGAAAACTTCTTCCAGTGGCACTGGAGAGAATTTGGTGTGACTTTTTTCTCTGATGCAGCTGTATATTTTAGGGGGAAGATGTAGGAAGGAGCTTGGGGATTGTATATACAGGAAATGAGCCAGTTCGATGGGTGAATGTTCTGATCTCAACCACAGCATTTTCTGTGCAGGCTCATGTTTTGGGTGTAACCAGGCCAAGTTTCGTGAAGACCAGGCTGTAATCTAGCCCGAAGGTGATGTGGTCATGGACAGCACTTGAGATTGGTCTCAGCAATTCATTTTGAATGTTACGTTGCCAGAGTTGAGAGTACACATAAAACAGCAGCAACAAACAGCAAAATCTGAGCATGGGTGATGGTTGGGCAAGTATTGATGGGTCAACACAAAAGCGACTAAACTGGAATTTGCCTTGTCTGACCTTTCTGTTTGGTATTTCACGTTTCTCCTGTAATCTCTTTCCCAAAAGTGGGAGCTACAGTTGCACTGAAGCAGTCCGGTGTTTGTACAGCGTTGGTGAAAAGAGGGTTTCCTATGAGAAGTGGCTGAAAACTTGTCCCAGTTCCCCCAGGACTGACCAGATACCCCGTGACTCTCGAGTCCAGAAGCTATACCTGAAATCCTCTGGTTCTGCTGAGTCACGAGCAGGCAGGAGGCTGGAATTTGTCCTGATGAAATCTCGGGCTGCTGCCAGCTGGGTATGGTCATGGCAAAGGCAAGAGATCAATGGAGGGGGGGGGCAGAATCTAAGCAAATATTAAAAAATTGAGGGGTGAAGAAGTTTTCTATGTTCCTTAAAAGGGAAGAGTGCTTCAGACACTGAGAAACTTGTCCTATTTCTTTTAACCTTGTGCCAGAGTTTTATGTGACTCTGAGTTGAAGCAGGGATTTACATCTGTAGCTTTTAGCTGTATTTTAGCAGCAGTTTGTCTCATCTGGTGTCAGCGTAGAAATCACAGTTCTGTCACAAGCATGAGAAAGGGCAAATGAGACACTTCCTAAAGGTGCTTTAGTTTTTATTTTTCAAAAAAACACTCTTGAGGACACTTGGGCTGCCTTGGGTTTGAGCTCCTTGTGACCTTAGTCCTGCTTGTTTTCTTTTTCATCTCCCACCTCCCCGTGAGACTTGCTTTGAGGCATAACAGGGAATTGCCACAGATCACTTAGAAGTCTCTATGTGCTACTTCTGTATTTCACTGTATGCTGTCATACTATCAGAAAGATTTCTCTTAGGGATATATACTGAAGAAGGAAAATATTTCCTTGTGCTAAGAGAAGTGGCCTGCCTTTTAAGACAGGAAAAGGCAATATAACGTGTGGCATTTTAAACTTTCTGACTCGCTCTTCCTTCATTTGCCCTTGTAGTGAGTGTGTGTTTTTGTGTTTCTGGGCTTTTTTGTGTGTTAAACAATGGCTCGACTATGGTGTCCAAAGGCAGTTCCCTGTGAGAAATTCACTACCCGCAGGAAAACTTGGCTCCCGGCCCCTCTGTAGCCCAGGAGGGTTTGCTGGCAGAGCCCCCAAGATGCCGGGGAGCATGTGACGGCCGGCTGTGAGTGCAGGCTGGCTCCTCTGCGCTGCCGGAGCCGGGGGAAGATTGTGGAAAGTTATTCAAGGCTGTCCTTAAAGTTTAATGTGCAGAGAGGATGGCTAAATTGTCAATGTTTTCCTTTGGTTTTGGAGCTACCATTGCTGAAATGCAGCCTTGGTCTGTGTCGTGGGGGTTTTCTTTAGAGCTGCGTAGAATAATAGCTCCTTTATGAACGCCTGTGTTATTGAGGTTATTTACATAACTGAGCTGATCCCTTTTTACCTCCATTCGCCATCCGACCCTTGGAAGTTTGCATTTATCAGCTATTTCCCTCGCTGTGGTCAGCAGGGAAGGTGGAGTCTGGGTGGGGGCTTCCCTCCCAGCCCCGGCACAGCCGGTGGCTGCGCCCCGTGATGCCGCCGTGACTCACCCCGGCTCCCCATGCTGAGCCAATGGCCCCGCCGTGTTTCTCATCAGAGCGGCCTATGCGCGAGCGCCCAGACGTCTGACGTGGCTCTGCCGCGGGGAGGTGTCAGCTGGGATTTCGGAAAGTCGGGGCCCGCTGTGTCAGGGCTCGCCGGACTGAGTAATCGGTGCAGAATCCAGGACGGGCCTCACTTGCCAAGGGGAGGCCGTCAGTGGCGTGGGGATAGCCGTTCTGCTGGTCACGCTCGCCTGTGTCTTGTGCCCAGTGAATGCAAATACAAGCTGATCTGGAGCGAAAGGTCTCGGCTCAGTCCACCTTGGCTCTGTCTCATTGTCCTCCCAGATTGGGGCTTTGCATGCAACTTGTTTGGGGAAGGAGTTAGGAAATGCTGGTGAAGGGATGTGGGCGATAGGTGACAGCTGCTGCTTATATGCAGAAGGAGCTAATAGATTGCTTATCTGATAATTAGCCCTAAGTTTAGGGGGCGGGGGGGAACTATCATTATCTGCTTTATGGCAGAGCAGCTCATTGTGTGTCAGAACAAGACTGTAAAGAAAAAAGAAAAAAAAATACAAAACCAAACCAAACTACTACTATCTACCTCTTCCCTGGCCCCACATATGAAAATGAAGTAAAAATGGTGCAGCATGTCACTGATGGAAATCTATTTCTGTTTTTCTTTTGCTGTGGAAGCCTTCTTTAGGGGAATACAGGGAGACCTCATCCTGTAACGGACATGCAATTCTTTCTTTCTACCCCGGTAGGTTTCCCCATGTCCGTGACGTGTTGGCCGAGGCTCTGCGGCTCCTCTCCGCCCTCGGAGCGGCCAGTCGCTGCCCTCTGGACTCCGTGATCCCCGACGGGCGTCATGAGCATTGCAATCCCTCTGGGAGTCACCACACCAGATACGTCCTACTCCGACATGGCTGCAGGATCGGAGTGAGTGTTACCCCACAGAGGAGGAGGAGGAGGGGAGGGTGTCAGAGGGCTGTCCTGGAATGGGGCTGCAGGATTGGTGCCAGTGCTTTGTCCACTCGGGAGAAAGGGGGTACTGGTCCGCTGGCTGTGTGAGAGATGAACACAGAGACAGACTCTGAGTGTTTAACAAATGCAGTGTTATTGAAATGGGTAAGTTTGACATAGGAGATGGGGAAAAGGAGAATTCCAATAGTATGAGGCACTCAACCATGGGTTTTATATCAGCTTGGCTAGTAAGCCTGTACTCAAGTGCAGGCAGTTGCGCGTTTGCTGTATCCATGCTTGATGCTGGCAAGGTACAAGCCAACTCCTCCAAAAGCTGTGCTATCTGAGGGATCAGTATGCTGAGCCTCCTTCTTGGTAGAGCGTGCTAGCTCCGACTCAGTACCAATCTTACATGACAGATTTCTGGAGCCCTTTGGAGCTTGGCCAGAGATGTGAGATAGCATCAGCCTGTGTAGACATCTTCATGTTGTTTCTGCCCCCGAGCAGGTTCCAAGAAGCATACCTAAGTGGGCAATCCTTGAGGGTCTCCACCACAGCACCCTGTGCAGCGTGCTCACTGCAGTCCTATCTCTGAGGCCTGCTGGAGGAGGGGACTTACCATTTCTTTTAAAAGACCCTTCTTCTGTAGGAGTCAGGAACATTTCAAATCCAGAAAATATTGCATTGGGATCTTTTCTTAAAACCCTTGTTAGTACTCATCCTAGATGACATCATTTTATGTTTTTGTCAGGCACGAGAGCGAGGGCTCAAGTTATTTCTGTGTGCTTCTACCTCCTGCTTTCCGGCATCCTTCTTTGAAATACGGATTGTAGCATCTCTTTACAAAAATTTACAAAGAGCATTTTGGAGATAGATTCCCCCCATGTATTATTTAAAGGTACCTACTGTGCAAATGCCTGCATGTCAGATTGATCAATGTAGAACAGATATTGCTCCAGACTCTATTAATTTTGAGCTGTAGGAGCACTGGGCTGGGGTATGAATCATTGTTTTTCCCTTCCATCTTGCCCTGATTTGACTATACACAGAGTTTGACTACACAGTTGCACTCTCTGCAAGACTGCTAATGCTTTTTTTCTCTGTCTTGGCACTGGCCCCATTTTAGGCATTCTTCTTCATGATTCTTCATTCAATCCTAAAGCCCATATTTTTACATGTTGTTTTTAAATGGGGAGTCAGAATCTAGTAAGTCACTCATCTGCAGTGGGTATATGATCCTTCACTTCTCAAGATTTAGTATTCAGTATTGCTTGTCACCATGCTTCTCCCACACCAGCACTTTAAAGACTCAACATGCAGGAATTTTAAACTGTTTATGACAGGAGAAAGAGTGCTAAATAGTTTACTCATGTACTAGGTGCTTTGCTTTCAGAGCTGAGCATAGTGGAGAAGAGAGCCAGATATATCTATGCATGTCCCTTGTAACATTTAAATATCAAAAAGGCTGGCTGTAAACCTTCTGCAAAGCATTTTCTTTTTCCCTGGTTGTAAGAAATTTGTAGGTCCAACTTGAGGCTAGGCTGGAGTGCTTTGAAAAAAGGCTTTTGAAGATTTCTGAATTGGTTTCTCCGTCCATTTTCTAAAAATTGGGAATGCTAGGACTTTATTCTCCAGGCTTTGCGTTGAGATGCTGTTACTGCTGAAGTGTCCTTCGTGAGTCAGTTTGAAGTTAAGGCTATCCTCCACTTCTCTTTTGAAACTCTGCTAGTTTGATGCATGAAGTCTGGGGTACCTGAGCTTCTTGGCTTTTATAAGGGGTTGATTTCAAAGATGTGCATCACAAAGGCAGCGGGAAGGCAAAAGGAAAACTAACTGGCCCTCTTTTTCAGGCTGAGCTTTACCATCTTCCCTTAGCCTCTGATACAGAGAGGAGATGAAAATGGTGAAGGGTGTTTGTGTTCATCTGAGGGTGACATGGAAGCTGCAGAGTAGTTTTGCTGTGTTAGTCTGACTGCATATTGGAAGTTGTTGAAGCTCCTTGGCCAGCTGCTGCTGAGGAAGCATGGGCCCCAGCATTGTTGCCCCTGGACACCGTTGCACCAACAATCTTGAAGTTTTATTGCTAATGCTCACGGCAGCATTGCTGGTGTTCCTGGCTGACTGTAGTTAGGAACGTGGGTGACTTGGACAGAGGACGGATCTGCTGCTTAGGCTGTTTAGGCTCTTTTCCTTCTAATACCGTTTCAGAAAATACGATTAAACCTGAATGGATTTAACTCTGTACCAATCTGGAAGTCCTGAAGGACTGTCATAAAGATCCAGCAAGGCTGGATTATGTGGCAAGCTCTACACAGCGTCTCTTATTAAGAAGTATATCCTCTGAGAGGTATTGCCACCTATATCTCCTGCTTTTCACAATTTAGCTCGTTGTAGTTATGTTGAAGACAAACTGAATTTATCATGTCATGTGCCTAAATCCTGAGCTATAGAAGCAGAGCTTGCGTGGTTTAAGGTCGTCTACTTTCTGCAGTTCTTTGCAACATAGAGGAGCAATAATTTATTATAGAAAGACAGATCCACCTTACTCCAGAAAAAGAGTATAGCAGGTTTAGTGCCAGGGTGGGGCAAACTTCAGTGCAGCAGAGATTTCAAGAGCTGGTAGGAAGTCCAAAGGGCACAGGGGTTAGTGTTAGGCACTTGGGTGGTGCCTAAACACTGCCCCATGCGTGACCACTGGCCGTTGGTGTTTTGAGTACTGCCTGATTCACGCTGACAATATAGAACCCACTGAGAATCCTACAAGATCTCACCAGAGCAGCAGAGGTCCAAGGTAAAGTTTTCCTGTCCTGTATTTTTCTTTCCTGCTTGCTCAGCTCCATGCTATGATTTTGAAGATTTCACCTGCAGACATGATTTAGTAATGCTCTGCTGTATTCTAATATGGGCCCTACTTCTGATCTGTGCAGAAGTTAGCTGACTTGTATCTTCTGCTTGTAACAGACAGTGTGTTTCCTTGCTGGTCTTCTGTCTGTAGCCTCATTATCTAATATTCCCTGCATTGAATTGCAGCTGTCCCTTCTCTGAGTAGGATTTCTGCAGCTTTCTGCTAAGGGGTATACCTTTCATTTTTAGCTGCTTTTTTTCACCACCATGTGGTGGAATAGTGCATTGTACCTCAGCAGCAAATTTCCTGTTGAGCACATTGCACACCATGTTGCTGCATAGAAAGCACAGGACGAATCAGATTTGTCTGCGGCCACCAACTGTCCAGGTCATGAATTTTGTTGCCTCTTTGTAACAGGAATCTCCAACTCCTCGTTGTTGCTGTCAGGACAGCTGCAGGTTTTATGCAGACTTTATCACAGGACGTTGGACTTGGCTATCTGAGGGAGAGAGAAACAAGCACGGATGCAGGAAAGCTGCTTAGCTGCTATTTGAAATAAGCTGTTGCAGAGATAACATGGCAGTACTGTTCAGTGGCTTTGAGATTAGACTGGCTGAGTTCAGATGTGAATATTGAACGAGACCCAACTTCCTCGACTAGAAGGAAACTGAGCTTCTTACATGCTAATTATCTTTTTAACTTCCTAGATTGAGACCCAGTTTAATGAGTTATCCAGGGTGGCCCTTGCTCAGTTGCTTCCCTCTGTTGAAAGCAGGTTCATCCTGTACTTCTGCACACATGATGCCTGGTGAAGCGCATAATAACACCTTGATTTCATGAAGTTTCTTCATGAATAGGAAAGAGTAGTGAAATACTGGCACTAAAAAAAATGATGTTATATTGATGGGTTTTACTTCTGGCCCTTTCTGCAGCCCAGAGTCTGTGGAAGCTAGTCCAGCTGTCAGTGAGAAGAATGTGTACTCCAGCCACGGCTATGGGGCCACCCAGAAACACAGCTATCGCGGGCTGCCTTACGCAGTGAGTACTCTCTCTGCAGTGAATCAGCTCTTTACTGTCTGCTTTACTCTTTTTCTCCTTGTTCCATAGTTCTTTGCCTGTTTAGCCTTAGGAGTTTTGGCTTACTTATTAGGGAACACTGAGTTACAGCTGAGTTCTGCCATACATTTTGCATTTGTGTGTTTATTGTTTGTGAAGTCTGTAGTGTTCTAGGTGATAGATATTTAACTGAATGAAGTGTGAATATATATTAATAGATGATGTTTTCCTGGTGGTAATTTTATGCCCCGGTTGGTTTATTGTGCACTATTTGTACTTGTTTCAACTGTGCAGATTTTCATATTGGTAACTTATAACTATTAGAAACAAGGAACAGTCAGGAAGAGTGGGAGCGTGGCTTGAAACTATGGGATCAACAGGATGTCATAGAATCATTGAGGTTGGAAGAGGCCTCTTGAGATCACGTAATCCAACCCCCCTGCTCAAGCTATCTCTGCTTGAGCAGGTTGCCCAGGACCACATCCAGTTCGGTTTTGAATATCTCAACAGACGGAAACTCCACAACGTCTTTGGGCAACTGGTTCCAGTGTTAGACCACTGATGTAATCTCAGATTATTAGCAGGACAACAGTTAATGTTGAAATAGCCTAGTTTTTTTCGTAGGTTTTGAATTTAATTGATTGGTGCAGAAGAAAACAGTGCACGTCTTTCAGAGCTATTGCATTACCTTGGTAGATTGAGGAATTCAGCCTACTGTTTTACACCAGCTGTTAAATAATAACTTGGGAACTGTGGATTTGGGACTTCAGTTTCTAGACATCGTATCTTCACGTTAAAAGTAGTACTGCAAATACTCATTTTCAGGATCATAATTATGGAGCCCCTCCTCCTCCAACACCGCCAGCCTCTCCTCCTGTCCAGACCATTATACCTCGTGCAGAACTGAACGGCCTGCACTCGCCTGATGAGGAGAACTCCGGGGATAGTGAGAGCTCCTCAGAAGGAGAATCAATTTCCACTTGGTGCCACTGCAGTGTCTCCCAAGATGGTTTCCTTCTCAAGTGTGAAAAGTGCAGGTAAGCTTTGGTGCAGTGCAGATCTGGGCTGCTCCTCGTGTTGACTTCTCATACCAAACCGTGTCACGTTTGGGCTGTGGGATGAACTTCCTTTTGCTAACTGGAGCATTCTTTCCAGTGCTTTACCTAGTATTGACCCTCCTCCTTTGCGTTGTCAGCCTGACAAGTGTTGGTGGCACCAGGAGTGGAGATGAGGATGTTAAATCGATGTTCTTATCATCCTGGGCCCCACTGAGGGGACGCATCTTGTGACATCCTGTTGAATTTCAAGTGACTTTACTCCTACAAACCAGCTTCAATTGTGCATTCTCCTTTGGCAGAGGAATGAGCAGGGGGAAGGTGATCAGACTCCGCCGCCGGAAGCAGGACAACGTGTCAGGTGAGCTTGAGGTTGTAATTCTGATAATGGTGACTTTTGCTTTCTTTCTACAAGACCTTTGTCTTTTGGCTGCTGCAATCATCTAACTGTGATCAGTGCCCGCTAATGTTCTTTGCCTCCCAGCTGCTGGGATTTTCTTCTCTCCTTCTGCCTCACCTCAGTTAGCTCTTGGGAAAATCAGATTATCTTGTGAACAAAAAAGGGAAACGTTCATCAGTGCCACTCTGTGAGATAGGAGAAGTTTGGGACACCTGTTCCCAGTTTGGGTGGGAAAACTGAGACGGTACAGTTTTCTCAGGGAAGAGCTATGCAGGGTCATCAAGTCACCTTGATGAAAGTGGACATAAGGGTAAGCTGTTCTCCCCGGGGATGAATAAAAACGTTGTTAACAAAGTACTCCTCTCTATAGGTGGGGACAGCAGTGCAACTGAGAGCTGGGATGAAGAACTGTCTCCCTCTACAGTGCTGTACACAGCTACACAGCATACCCCTACGAGCATCACGCTGACTGTCAACCGTGTCCGTAGAAGCAAACCTAAGAAGAGGAAGAGGAGTACAGAAAAAGCTCGCACTGCTCCAAAGGCCAAAAAGATCAAGGTATGTGGAGCGAGACAAGGCTGCTGTAGTTCCTGCTAAATGCTGTGTGGTGTATTGTTGAGAGCATGTTGACAAGCTGGCAGTAGACAAGCAACTTTTGTCCTGTAAGGAATTGCTTTTTTTGCTGTAATAATGTGACACCTTGTATTTGTGACCTGCTAGAGTATGTGGCTGTTGGTTTAAAAATTACTTTACTGGAACTCCACCTTTATTTCTCAATGCTGTCCATTCACACTCAGAGCTTGGACTCATGTATTTTCCCTTCTGCTCCATTAGGATTTGGCGAAATAGCTACCTGCTTGTGGCAAAGGGGCAATCTGTGAATGAATGAAAAATTAAGGGAGTATGGCATTTCTTAAGCAGGCTGTGTTAAGGAATCTGAGCTGCAGAGCTTCTTGGCACTGTTCTTCAGCAACATAGTGCTTGTGTGGAAAACTATGTAGGTAGTGATGAACATTTGTTGAGGGATGACTTTACTGGCTTGTTTGTGAGGCTTTGGGGACTGAAATAATTTTGGATTACTTATATTGGAATGCAAGTGTGTGAGCAGCTGGTTCTTTCCCATCATCTGCTAGCTTTACTGTGATTTTCCCTAGGTTAGGTTTCCCTGGAAGTTCTTGTGGTAGGCACTGATTAAATGAAAGACTGAGAGCAAGGGCCATGTGAGGTCTTCAGGTTTTTTTGTTGTGAACCAGCTTGATTCTGTTGCTGGCCCTTCTGTCAAAGCAAGTGGGGTTAGTCGGGATGGTTTTGATTTTGATCTTGAGATTTTTACTAAGTATGAGGCAGGCCTTTTTAGTTCAGAAATCCTGGCTGTCAAGTTTTTCAGCAGTTTCCACTAGATTTGCATTGCAGAGTCTTTTTGTTCAAATCCATTGCTTCTTGTGTAGGTCTTCCTGTAATTCTTCCCATCTCTTGTTAAGGATTAGTCTGTTGGAGTAAGTTCTGGTGTGGTTCTGGGAACTAATTCTGAGGAAATGTATAATACTTTGTGGTTTTTTTCTCTCTCTCTCTCCTTGTTTGGGGGACAGGCCTTTCGAGAGGGCTCACGAAAGTCTCTGAGGATGAAGGTGAGTAGAACTGAGAACCCTCTGTGGTGGTGGTGGTTTTTGCCCTGTATTTTGTCCCTGTCTTGGTTTGCCTGGGGAATTTCTGATTGTGGGACCAGCCTCAGAATACTCTTAAGCCTTACCATGCACCACAAGCAGGCCTATTCAAAAGGATATAACAGGAATTGCCCCTTGAACCTTGCTTTTGCTTCAGATAGCTTTCTGTAAGATAATGTCATCCAGTTCCAAGAGATATGACTGATTCATGACACTTGGGAGCAGGGCATTTGATGCGAGGGATGTGGAACTGGTTGTGGTCGCTCTTCTGTGAGGTCAGTTATCATTTGATTGCATCCAAGCCATTTTATTTAAGCTTGGGCATCATAGTACAAAAGTTTAATGTTGGGAGTTGCTAGCAGTATTGCCTTGTTTCTCTCCGCATCCTCTCACTAGGGATGGATGGGACGATGTATTTATCTCTGACTTTCTGCAATATTAGTAGGTGTGGCTATCCGATAGAAAGTTTATTTAACAAAAAAATTAGACTTGCACTTTGAGCCAAACATGTTCCTAGAAACACAAGAGGTGCCTTAAAGTTCACTCAATTCCATCTGACCCCAGCACTGTAGCTGACAGTGGCTTCTAGCGGGTGGCTCAGAGGAAATGGGACAATCCTGTGGTGTGTCGGTCTGTATGCACCTATCTCCATAGTACGCAAATGCCTTGAGAGGGTAAAAATGCATGAAAATTCTTAATGCTTTTAACATATATGATGAAAATAATGATTGTTCTTCATCAGTCCTTGTGTCTAATACCTCAGTGTCAGGTATGTCTCAGTCCCTTATGAAGCCAGTTGAGTTACTGACCTCTGGCGTATTATTTGTTGAATTTCTTCAACTATTGTCAAGTAAAGAATGAAGCTGAATTTTTTTTTCCTACCAGCTTCTTTTTTCCCCCCTCCCTTACAAGATGTATAAATGGATTACCTGATTTTGCCCTCTCTTCTTTACACTGCTTAGGACTTGCAGTTTTAACCCTCCGGGTATTAGCTTATGCTCTACATTCAGTTTCTTGAAACCCTGATGACCATTTAGCTAGAAGGTTCAGAAGTATTTTTGGATCAGTCACCACAAAGATTGAGATGCAGTCAGCACCATCGAGCATTACGTTGGACATGAGTGGGTTGACTGTAGGACAAGCCTACATGAGATTTATTTGCCTTTGTGTGTTCTGTTCTTTTATTTTTTAATCTTAGTTTTTTAAGTCACTCTGGAAAAATATTTTTTTCTGGCCACGTCCTAGCTTAATTTTCTTGTATGTAGCAGTGCCAAGTACCAACTCTCAAGAGGTCTTAGTCCTGCACAGAGTTCTCCATAGATTCCTAAGCATTACTGTTGTACAGTGTTCTGGAGGATTCAGGTTCTGAAAAAGCTGTCCTCATAACCGACGCTTTCTTAGCTTGGAATAGATTTGCCTTTTTTTTGTAGCATATTCACATGCTCAGAGCACTGTGGATAGTTTTTCCCGTTGTGTGCTAACCATTCACCCTTTGCTGTTTGGTGCAGAATTCCCCTTCTGAAGCGCATGCCTTGGATGAAAACACAGCTGAAGGGTGGGAGAATCGAATACGACTCTGGACAGATCAGTACGAGGAAGCCTTTACTAACCAGTACAGCGCTGATGTACAGAACTTGTTGGAGCGTCATCTAAACTCTAATAAAGAATACGTGGGCAAAACTGCTATGCTAGACACAATCAACAAAACAGAGCTGGCCTGCAATAATACTGTTATTGGGTCCCAGATGCAGGTAAGAACTTTTGTGACAGAACCGGGGTAGGTCTCGTCCTCTGGTTTCTAGACGTAAGGCATGGTCATGGGTGAGCGATAACTGTAGCTGGTCATATCATTTCAGACCAATAGGCATAGATTTGATATAAAAGGGAACAGAAGAGATGCCAGTACCAGGACAGATTCAAAAACACTTGCATTCAACCACATCAGTGTTGCTAGGTTGGGGATATTTTGTACAGTTCTGTGATATGGTTCACAGGTATTTTACCATAAATACTTTTGGTCACTGAATGGCTTGAGGCAGAACCAGATCTATCACTTGCTTGAGATAGGAAATTTCCTGCTTTCCAGATGGGTTTTTGTGTCCTTTTCTTTTTTCCTTGGCTCATGTTGTGTGGAAAGCTATTTTAAAGAACCTTTAAACATTATTTCAATATTTCCGATTATTATTTGGACTCTGGTAACTTTCAAATACTGCACAACTACAGTTGATTTCAGGGAACTGTCTCTCCCCACCTTTTCTCTTCTGAGATGTGCAATGATTGGTGTGTTGCCAGCTTTATAGAGTGCATGTAGACAAGGAGAAACAGGAAAAGGATGTGTCTGTGTGGTGTATGTCCTCCCTGCTACTCTTCTCAGCTGACGTTTCATCTGGTCCATGCTTTGTTGAACACAGAGCAGCACTCCCACTGAGTTCAGGCTTTGTAGAGTTTCTTTGTCCAGGAGATAGGTGCAAGTGAAAAGGATGGGCTCCAAAACAGATGTGGGGCACCCCATCCTCTAGAAGGGGAGCAGAGTCGGAAACCTGAATATCAAGTATATGTTTGTGCTTGAATCATTCTTGTTTACATCAGCTGACTCACCACTCCATGAAGTTCACATGCTCCCTCCCACCTTTCCCTTTCCTTTCGTGTAGGTGAAGCACATCAGGCAGAGCACAGCAGAGTGCAGAAAGAGGACTTTGGACGCAAATTCCTTCCACTCCTGTTTCTAATTCTGCAATAATAAGACTTCTGTGGGGGTTGGGGAGAAACTCTTCTACTTGGCTCTGAGTAGCCTTCCTAAAGAAAGCAACGGAGGAAATACAGGGAAGAAAAAGTCTGCTTTTCTAGAAATCTTAATATTTTCTGAGTCTAAATGTAAACTCTTCTATCTGCTTCACATGAGTTTTAGGAAAAGCCCTGAAATAAGTAGTAAAACATATGCTGTTTCCCTTTATCACCTTTGTACAGGTGATTATGAAAGATACCATAGATAAATGTGCTTGTTCCTGTCATGCTTTCTTGCCCCCTCCCTTCCCTGTACAGACATAGGTTTTCCCACAGGGAAAAGTGGCCAACATTCCAAATCAGAAGATTCTAAATGCTATATATACCAAAGAAACAAAAAGATAGAAAGTTGCAAAACTTCATAGCGCACTGCAGTTACTCTAAACAAGCCGTAGGTAGGTACCTATCATTGCGTGTGCTGGGAAACTGTAAAGGGAGTTTGTGGCTTTGTAGTTACTCTTGGATACTGAGGAAAGACCGGGTGGCTGTCACAGGATGCTCCTTGTCAGCCCTCCTGTCCTTGTTTTCTCTGCTCAGCAGATGCTGGGGAGTGTTGCGAGGAGGACAGCCTGCACAGGTGTGGAGTGCGTGGTCTCTCGTCTCGTGCTTTATATTTTTGTTCTGCTCATTTGTCTCGTCTTTGTTAGACAAACTGTGAGAGGGCTTCTTGGTTTGCTTCAGTTGTCTTTTAGCTAGAGATCATTACTGTATGTAAAAATAGCTTTTCTGGGAGATAAGGAAATAGGTACTTTGAGCTAGGAAAAAAAATTAGGGAGGTTGTGTCAATATGCAGCTAGCAGCTGTGTGTAGAAGATGGGTATTGTAACTGCTCTATTTGGACATGAAGACTTTGGAGAGAGGAGAAAGGAATAAAAATAAAATGTTGTATATGCCCTGCATACTGTCACAGTTGAGAGAGTTGCTTGGCTTGGGTAAACAATGATCCAAGTGTACTCCCTGTATACTTTACCAAAAAAAAAAAAAAAAAAAAAAAGAAGAGAGTGTGACCTAAAAGCAGAGATGGGTTAAGAAGTTTTACATGCAGGGTATGGGATTTTGATCCTTAGAATGTTTTGAATAAACCAATTCTCAACTGTCCTAATGATGCAGAAGGAAACTTGTGAAAATGTGAAGCTCTTCAGTTCCACAAATAAAATAATCTTAGTCCTGGCTACTGCCAGATGCTTGACAAACTGAAAGCTGTGAATCGCTTTTCTGCCTGCTGTTGCCAAACCAAACTCAGGGTCAGTATTTGCCCTGTGTTGCCTCTGATAATTGCTGACTTGAGCTCAACCCCCTGATTGATTTCACATTCTGAAGTGAAGAGCAAAAGGGCCTTTATAAAATAAAGCCACTGAGTATTATGCAGATGTTGCTCTGCAAACATATTGGAACAGTTTTGTCTGATTAGCAGTCAGCAGTCCCTAGCCTATGACATGAATAAAATCATTTGTTCTTTTCACACATGAAAGCATGGCAGCTAATCCTCTTCATATTTCTAAATTCAGAGAACAAAAACAAGCGGAGCTAGGGTCTTATCAGAATAGCTACAAGATCATTCCTGTTTTACCAAACTCAGATAGTTGTTAAGTTTTACAGATGCAGAACTTCTTTTTCCTTCATGAGCTCTCTTCTCCCACCACCCCACCTTAACCCACCTGTGTTCCCCAAGCTGTTTTCCAGCATCAGGTGAACAGTAATACAAGTCAGTCACGGGCCAAAGGCGAGAGTGAAGGCTACCAGATGTTAACCTACATCTCTGAAAGATACGAAGAGACTCTGATAGAGTAGTGCAGTAATTTAGGTTGAGAGGAATCACTGAAGGTCATCTGGTCCAACCCTCCTGTGTAGGGTCAGCTTAGATGATAAACTGATTATAACAGCAAACAAGTGGTAGTAGAGAAACAAAATTATTAAACTGGAGATATGCTTGTGTCTCAGTCCTACTTTATCATCTAACTTCAGATACTTTCTCCTTATCTCCTTCTGTCACACACTAACAAATCTAGTCCCATTTATTTATTCTCTGTTACCACAGTTGGATAGTACAAAGTGTATCCAATGATTTTAAAATAATTAGCCACAGAAAACTCCTACTACTCTTGGCAACGTGACCAGTCTTATCCTACAGTTCACTCATGTCATGGGTTTGTTGATCGGAAATCAGGATCAGCAGTGTGGCTTCTTAGTCTGGAAATAACATGTTTCTTTTATGCCAGTTTGGTGAATTTGGGGAATCCTCTGTGAGCTCCTATCAGTACCTGAGATATGAAGAGATGAATGACACCCTGCAAGGCTTTTCAGAGTCTCCAGTACATAAGTGCAGGTTTTTCCAGTTGCCAGCAGATGCACTGGTATGAAAAGAGAAATACCCAATAGGCATGATAAATGTAGCACTGGGTATATCTCGAAGAGGAGATCTGGAATACCAAGATCATTACTTCCATCTGCATAGGTTTCAAATTAATATTTTTATAAAGCTATCTTTATCCTGGACCTGACTGAGAGAACTCAACAAATAGATCTTACTTTACTGGCTGATCCAAGATCTGCAGTATAATGTCATATTAAAACAATGAAAGTTGTCTTCTTCCTAAAGAGGTTGAATTGGCAGTATAATGTCATATTAAAACAATGAAAGTCATCTTCTTCCTAAAGAGGTTGAATTCAGAGTGCATATAAGATTGCTACCAAAAAACA